GATGTGTCTTGAAGTGGGCCTCTCTGCATCCATCTTGTTTGGAACTCTCTGTGCTTCCTGGACCTGTATGTCTGTTTCCTTTCCCAACTTAGGAAACTTTTCTTCCATTATTTTTTTCAAATAGATTTCCAATTTCTTGATCTTTCTCTTATCCTTTGGCACCCCTATGATGTGAATATTGGACCTCTTGAAGTTGTCCCAGAAGCTACTTATACTACCCTCATTTTTTTATCTTTTTTCTTTTTGTTGTTCTGATTGGTTGGTTTTTGCTTCTTTATGTTACAAATCATTGATTGGATTCTCGGCTTCATCTACTCTACCGTTATTTCCCTGTAAATTGTTCTTTATTTCAAGTGGTGAACCCTTTGTTTCTGACTGGATCTTTTTTATGCTGCTGAAGTCCTCAAGTCCCTTGAGCATCCCTATAATCAGTGTTTTGAACTCTGCATCTGATTGATTGCTATCACCATTTCATTTAGCTCTTTTTCTGGAATTTTGATCTGTTCTTTCATTTGGGCCATGATTCTTTGTCTCCTCATTTTGGCAGCCTCCCTGTGTTTGTTTCTATGAATTGGTAGAGCTGCTTTGACTTGTGTCTTGGTAATGTGGTCTAAAATAGTAAGTGTCCTATAGGGTCCAGTGGCACAGACTCCCCTATCATTCAAGCTGGGTATTTGAGATGTGCCCTTCATGTGGGCTGAATACACCCTCCTCTTGTAGTTGAACATTGGTTGCTGTTGGCAGATCAATGGGAGGGATTTACCCAGGCCAGTCAGTTGCAAGAATTGGCTGTGACCACTGACCACCAGCGTTCACCCTCTGTGGAGGATCACCTGTTCAGGGGTGGGCTGGGGTGCTTGAAGTGGTCTGTAGCTGACCACTTGGGTGTGCAGACTCTGGGGTTTCCTGGGTGGTGCAGGCCAAGGTCAGCCTCTACCTGTGTTTTGCCCAGGGCTGCCCTTCCTGAGCTATAAAGCAATTTTAGAAGGCTGTTACTTGTGCTGGGATTGGAGATTCCCAGGAGAAATCAAGCTGTGAAATTAATCTGGCTGCTGCTAGTGTCAGGCCTGGAGCTCACTGAGGCTAGCTGTTGCTTGTTTGATAGAATTTAGGAAGTTGTGAACTAGGACCCAAGACCAGCCATTCATATGGAAAAGCAGCTTGGGTGGGCCTGTAAGTTGGGTGTGCCAGTGTCCCTGGGGATCTCCAAAGTGGGTTAAACAGTGTTAGTCAGGTTGATGGAGCCTCAAATATGGCACCAGTCTGCAGGCTCTGTGCCTCTGCAGCATGGGGAGGCGGGCTCAGAAAAGGGATAATAGCCTCTGCTCGCCTTGATGCCAGACACTTCCGTTTCTCCCCATTTGCCAGTGGTGCTCTTCAGGCTGCCACCCCAGTGCTGAAGCTCAAAGGGGGGTGAGTCTGAGTAGGTGAGTCCACGTGTGGGTTCTTTAAGAGGAACTACTTAGAGCTCCAGCAGTTTCTTCCACCAACTCAATCCCCATTGGTTTTTGTAGCCAGAAGCTGTGGGAACTTCCTGGCACTGGAACCATGGGCTGGGGGCCTGGTGTGGAGCTGGGCCTGCTCACACCTGAAATATCCCTCCCAAATTTGTATCCCCCACACATGGGTGAGAGACCAGCCTATTCTGCTTCTGCACCCCTCCTGCCAGTCTGAATGGATGTAGTTTCTTTAATTCTGTAGTTGTCAGGCTTCCATCCAACTTGATTTCTGACAATTCTGAGTGATGGTTATTATATATTTTAGTTATAATTTTGATGTGGTTGTGCAAAGAGGCAAGCCATGTCTGCCTACACCATGATCTTGGTCAGAACCAACCTTTTATTTTTTCTAAAGATTTAATGTATTTATTTTTAGAGAGAGAGGAAGGTAGGGAGAAAGAGAGTTAGAGAAACATCAACGTGTAGTTGCCTGTCATGTGGACCCCACTGGGGGCCTGGCCCACAACCCAGCCATGTGCCCTGACTGGGAATTGAACTAGCAACCCTTTGGTTTGCAGCCTGCACTCAATCCACTGAGCCAAACCAGCCAGGACTAGAACCAATCTTTTAAAAATATATACACATCACCCCCCAAAAAAATATTTCTACAAGTCAACTTAAATAGTAACAGAAATCTGCAAAGCAAAACAATAGTGACACACACCAATGTACTTTTCTGTAGAAAAAATAAATGTGCATTTCCATAATATACTATTAAGTGAAGAAAGAAGGTTACTTTAAAAACTATGTAAAAGCCTGGTTCCATGTGCAGGGAAAATGTGTTTGCGCACAGTGAAGAGAAGTCTAGAAGGATGTGCACCAAAACTAATACTAAGTGAAAGCTCTGGAAAAGAGATTAGTTCATGTGAGAGGGACTAAAAATTCAATACATCTGTATATTGTTCGCCTTTTTCTGCCTTGAGCGTGTCTTATTTTTATAATTTAAAAAATATTTTTTAAAGGAGGTTGGAGCCTAGAGTATAAAAAGCACATCAGTGGAAAAACTGGAGAAATCCAAATAAAGTCTGGAGTTGAGTTCAAAGTCATGTACCAAGGTTGGTTTCTTAGCTGTGACAAAAGTACCAGGGAAATATAAGATGTTAACAATAGAAGAAAAGGTGACGGATCTATAGGCATTCTCCATATTATCTTTGCAACCTTTATGTAAGTCTAAAATTATTCTAAAATACAAGCTGATTAGAAGAGAGAGAGCTGCACAGGCTCATAACCAAGGCAGCTTTGGCAGTCAGAACCATTTTGTTCTGGAAGATTTCCGATTCCTGCTGAGCTCTGTGGCCAGTGGGCACCCTGCCCGCAGAGAGCCCTGTCCTGCCTCCTCAGGCTGTTAGGGATTAGCTGGGGCAAGCTGGTGCACAGCCAATATCCCAAGTTCTGCTCTGGGGAAACCAAGAGGTAGGCTCACCCTTGCCCCCACCACAGCTGGGTCAGACTGTGTTTTAGATCAGACAGAGGTTCACAGCTAAATGGAGAGGAAGACGCAGAGCTTTCCCAGATGCCCCCTGCCCTCACGCATGTACAGCCTGTCCCGCTATCAACATCCCCTCCAAAGTGGGACATTTAGTACAGTTGACGAGCCTGCCCTGACACGTCATTGTCACCCGAAGTCCATAGTTTACTTGAGGGTTCGCTCTTGATGTTGTAGATTCTATAGATTTGGGCAAATGTGTAGTAGCATGTATTCACCATTATAGTATCATAAGAGTATTTCCACTCTGTAAAAATCCTTGCTGTTCCACCTATTCACCCCTCCCACTCACTCAGGCCCTGGATCACCCAGGCTGATCTTTTTACTGTCTCCACAGTTTTGCCTTTTCAGAATGCCACATGGTTGGAATGGCGCAGTATGTGGCCTTTCAGAATGCCTCCTTTCACTTGGCAATATGCACTGAAGTGTCCTCTATGTCTTTTCATGGTTTAATAGCTTATTTCTTTTTAGAGCCAAATAATATTCCATTTGGATGTACCACAGTGTATTCATTCATTTACTTACTAGAGGATGTCTTGGTTGTTTCCAAGTTTTGCAATTAGGAATAAAACCTTCTAAATATCTAAGTGCAGGTTTTTGTGTGGACATAGTTTTCAATTCATTTGACTGATACCAAGGAGTGTTATTGCTATGTTGTATGTTAAAAGTATGTTTAGCTTGTAACAAACCGCCAAACCATCTTCCAAAGTGGCGGGTACCATTTCACATTCCCACCAGCACGAACAAGAGCCCTCATCGGAGTTTGGTGTCCATGTTTCCGATTTGGGCTTTTCTGATAAGTGTGTCGTGGTATCTCACTGCTGTTTTAATTGGCATCTCCCTGGTAACATATGATGTGGAGCATCTTTTAATAAGCTTATTTGCTATTTGCATATCTTCTTTGGTGACATGTCTGGTAAAGCTTTTGTCCCATCTTTTTTAATTGGATTGTTTGTTTTCTTATTGTTGAGTTTTGAAGAGTTCTCTTTATATTTTGGATAGCAGCCCCTTATCAGATGTGTCCTTTGCAGATGTTTTCTGCTGATCTTCGGCTTGCCTCTTTATTCCCCTGGCGTTATCGTTTGCAGAGCAGAGATTCTTAATTTTAATGCCTTCCAGCTTATCAGTTGCTTTCTCGTAGATCATGTATTTTGTGTCATATCTACCAAGTCATACCGTACCCAAGGTCATCTAGGTTTTCCCCCTATGTTATCGTCTGGGAGTTTTAGTTACAGGTTCACGTTTAGGTCTGTGATCCGTTTTAGTTCATTGAGGGTGTAAGGTCTGTATCTAAATTCAGTTTTTTGCGTGTTGTTCCAGCACTACTTGTTGAAGAAATTATTTTGGCTCCACGACACTGCCTCTGCTCCTTTGTCAAAGATCAATTGGCTATTTTTCTGCACGTCTATTTCTGTGCTCTCCGTTCTGTCCCAGTGACCTGTGTGTCTGTTATTTCACCCCTACCACACGGCTTGATTACTGTAGCTTTGTAGCAGGTCCTCCCGTCACGAAGTATCGGTCTTCCACCTCTTTTTCCCTTCAACGTTGTGTGGGCAGTTCCGGGTCTTCTGCCTCTCCGTGTACACTTCAGAATCAGCTCGTCAATATCCACAAAACAACTTGCTGGAATTTTGATTTTGTGGTTTTTATCTATATCCTTTATCCCACTAAGACCTTACATTCTCGGCATCTGCCTCACAACCTAGAATGCCGTGGGCAGGGACTCCGGAGTGAGACGGGGGCTGTCGTGTAGAACTGAGGAGACAGGTGGGGTTTGACAATGGCGACGTGAAGCTCCTAGGAACACACGACATGCACCAAACCTACACCCCTCACCCTTGTCCCATTGCTAGTGACTCCGTGGGCACGGCAAGCTGCATGGGAATTACGAGCGTGCTGCCGGACACTGCCTTGTCTTTTCTCCTGCAAGTCTTCAGTGAATGGTCTTCCCTAACCGGAAGCCCTGGACAGAGCAGCTGGGCCCCCTCTGACCACTGCCCCCTCTCTCCGTGCAGGCTGCACTTCCTGGTGTTTGACACGGAGGAGGTCCACGACGTGCTGCGCATCTGGGACGGGCCCGTGGAGAGCGGGGTCCTGCTGAAGGAGCTCAGCGGCCCAGCCCTGCCCAGGGACCTGCACAGCACCTTCAACTCGGTCGTCCTACAGTTCAGCACCGACTTCTTCACCAGCAAGCAGGGCTTTGCCATTCAGTTCTCAGGTCTGTGCCTGCCTTCCTCCAGCCCTTCTCTGTTTGTTCTGCTGCCCGACACCAACCTCCCTTCCTCCGCCCTGGAGCCCCTCCTTCCCCTTCATCTTTCCACTCATGTAATGGTATTTATTGAGCATCTGCTATGTGCCTGGTGCAAGGTTAGCTCTTGGTCAAATATACATGCTGTGCTTACTCAGTGCAGAGAGTGGGGGAGACAGGCAGGTTAATAGACACTCACGTGCAAATTGCTAAGTATCTGGAGGAGAAACATAAGCTCCGATGCTCACCTTGGGGCATCCGGGAAGGGGTTCCAAGAAAGATAACACCCAGGCTCAGACCTGAAGATGAATTACAGGAGAAAAGATGGTGTTTCAATCATGGAGTAGTCAGCTGTGACATGCGGTTGGTCTTGCCACTGAGCTGGGCTTGGGAGCAGGGTGGAGCCCCATGAGATGAAAAGGAGAGAAAGGCATCCTAGGTGTGAAAGCACGTGAACCAGTGCAGAGGCAGGATAGCAGGCTCCAAAGCGAGGCTTGTCCGCTGTGTCCGAAACACAGGAGCACGGAGGGATGCAGAGGAGATGGAGGCACCAGTGGTTTGGGGTGTGGTTTTGGAAGAACTGACCTGACATGTTGTATGTTCTGGTTCTTAGTTTAATAAAGGCCTGGAAGCCAACTGTGAATAATCTACATTCCATTAATTATATACTGCCGTAGCCAGTTATGGAGGAGCATAACAAAGAGCTACCAAAAATGGGCAATGCTCAAACATCAAGTCTCAATATTAGATAATTTATATGATTGGCCCTGCCTCTCCCTGTGATGCATCATCTCATCTCCTCTGAAGTGCCTCTCTCATCACTCATCTCCCGGCACAAGTGACTCTACCTCAGTTGGTGCTTATGTTTATTATACAGCAGCTGTCTTCATTACCATCTCCTTACTCCACTGTCTGTCTGTGCAAGGGGGTTGCCATGGTGATTCTGGAGCGAGTCTGTGTGGCACCTGTGCTGTGGCCTTGCCTCCACGTTCTCACTTGGTTCGTGTACCAGCTAAGGGTGGTCAGATGTATCTCTGGTCCCCACTTGGCTGTAATGGGGTGACAGACCCTGTTCCTAGCTCTTTTATGGTCCATCTTCTCCACAGAGATGAGCGTTTAGCTGTGGGTGGGGCAGATGAGAGTCTCCAGTATCGAGTTCCTTTGTACTCATTAATTTGCCCACTTAACACTAATGCAGGCTTCCAGCCTAGTGAGGAGCAGCTCCTTGCAGGGTTCATTGGGGGTCTTCTTCCTTGAAATCATGGCACCCATTCACCCATGGAGGGAGTCCCTGGGGGCCATTGAACCTGTCTAGGATTAGGGTCCCAGCATGGGACAACAAGGGAGTCACTTTAGAAAAGCATTCCCCAACATCTGTTCCCTGGAGCTCCGGGACTATCAATTGGTCTTGTGGGGAAAAGAAGTTTGCACGGTTGAGTCATGTGGTGGAGGCAGACCTGAGGAGGTTGTCTGTAATTTGGGACCTCTCAGAACTTGGCCGTTTGCTAATGCAGATAAATTCAGAAGGTGCTGGTAAGTCACAATTCCCAAATATATTTGGCCATGGATGACTTTTTTCTGAGTTATCGCAAGTGACTCGCGTGTTCTGAAACAAGCTTTGGAAACTGCTGGAAGGAGCAATAGCAGGATCTCGCAGCAGCCAGGAGGGCAGAATGCTACAGAGACGGCTCGGTGCCCTCTCGGGGTGAAGGGGTGCTATGCATAATTAAACAAGTCATGTATTTTCTCTGACTCTGCCCAAGCCAACGAGCTTGGCTTAAAAAAAAAATAAAGCCCATAACTGTAGAGACAGATTCCCCCGTGGATCTGCATTGTCTGACCTCCACTCCGTCCTCAGCATCACCGCGTGGGACAGAGTCCCGGGTGGGCGCACTGCTGAGCCCTGCCTCCCCACGGCCGCATCGGCTGCATTCTCGTACATTGCCCAGCTCGTGGAAATACTGTTCCTCCTTCAAGGTCATCTCAGAAGCCACTTCTTTCTAGTCTCCCCACTCTGGATAAGTCACTGTAAACTATGGCACTTTCAGCACTTCACTGCTTTTCCTTCAGTGCATTGTCAGTTCCAGACACTGTTGTGTTGGAGCTGCCCACCCCCTGGCCACCCCACAGAAAGCCCTTAGAACAGGGGTGTCGAACTCATTTTCACGGGGGGCCACATCAGCCTCACGGTTGCCTTCAGAGGGCCCAAATAACTTTAGGACTGTGTAAATGTAACTACTCCCTAACTGTTAAGGAGTTGAAATTACACTGGGCCCTACGAAGGGCTGAATGACACCACCCCCCGTGAAAATGAGTTTGAAACCCCTGCTGTAGAGGCTGTGGGGGGCACATCCTGCCAATCAGACTCCTCCAAAGGGAGCGCAGACAGCAGGTGCCCACTAGCTGCTTGCTGAACAGTTGGCACGTGAAGACGTAAACAAATAAATGGATCGTTTTCTCACATTGCAAGGGTTTCCTTGGTAGGGCAAGCCACCCTGGGCAAAGCTACCTAGCCTGGACTCCAGGAAGGCAGTGACAACCTGGGCCAATGTTCTGGGTGTAAGAGGTTCAGGAAAGGTCACCTTCCCTGTTGCTGTCATCGGTTAGCAAATACCAGGACGACCCTAGGGAAGAGAAGATGGCTCGCCCCGTGTTAGCTCTGTAGTGTGTTTGACAGGGGATTTACGGAAATGCCAGGGAGGACTAGTGCCGGCTTGGCTTTATTAAGTAAACATGACTGTGTAACATCTAACATCCTGTCTGGGCCACGTGATCCAGCCTCTCCCTGGGGGCTGTGCCAAGCAGCTCAAATTCAGGAGCAGTAAAGAGAGAGGGAGAACGAAAACAGGTGAGGGGAGCGCTGACAGGGAAGCATAATCTCTGCCATCCATAGAGCAGACACCATGCTGAGCCCTCACCTACACTCCCTCTTATAATGCTCGCAGGAACCTTAAGGTTTGGGCACCATTATTAACCCAAGGTGCAGATGTGGCTCTCAGGCCCAGGATAGCTTCTCATGCGAGGTCATCCAGCCTGGATCAATACCCTGGTGTCTGATTCCCAAAGCCAGGCTCTTAATCATTGCACTCTGTCACTTCCCATACAAATAATCTTTCTGCGTATGGCCAGAACAGTAAGGGTTTTTTCCACCGTCCCCCCACCCCCACTCCCACCCCCGAAAGAATCATTTACATGTGTTCAGTGCACTGGAAAAGTAGAGATGAAAGCCTAGTCTGTTACTACTGAGCACTCCTTGGTGCTGGGTGCTGTTCTAGGCCCTGGGGATACTGTTGGAAACGAGACAGCCAAGGTCCCTGTTTCCATAGAGATGTGTGAGTGATAGACAATAAAGAGGCCAACAAATTTATTAGCAAGATGACTACAAACTGTGCTATAAAATGAACAAAATGGGATGATGTAGTAGAACTGATGGAAGGGGGTTTCAGGATGAGCCCAGGGAAAGGTGACCAGCAAGGCCTGTCTGTGGAGGCGAGGTCGGAGCTGATGCCTGAATGACAAGATGGAGCTGGCATCAGAAAGGTCTACAGCAGGGTCATTCCAGCTGTGCAAGGGCCCTGGGGGCTGTGGGGGCGGGGGCTGAGCCTGCAATGCTGGAAGAAGATTTTACAACTACGGCTGGTGCACTGTGGTAGCAGATCGTCGATGGTATTAATAGTGAAATCTGGATAAAAGTGAAGGATGGTTTTAAAGTCCAAAAGGGGAGGACTTGAGATAGGGTACCATCTTCTAGGAGTCAGCAAGCTTTTTCCATTAAAAAAAGCCAACAGTAGGATCTGTGGGCCACAGGACCAACAGCTCAGCTCTGCCAGAGCCCAGAAGCAGCCACAGACCAGATGGAGACCAGTGAGCAGGCCTGTGCCCCAACAGCGCTGCACTCACAAGATCGGCCACAGAGCCAGATTGGGCTGTGGGGCTAGTTGCTTCCTGTCTCAGGTATTGTTGGGTGTAAGGGATTAGATTCTACAACTCCAGGCTCATCCACACAATCCTAGGCCTTAATAATTAGTGATATGAGGGTGTGCGGTGCCCTAGGCTGGTGCTCCTTGAACTTTTCCACTGAAGTCCCAGTAGCCGAAGAGAGTGAATGCCTACTTCTAGAAGATCTGGGGGGTGTAGGAAGCATAAAATCTCCTTGAGACTTCCAGTTTTTGCTTAAGAACTAATACAAATTTTACAGTCCACTCCATGATAACTTCACTTGTTTGAGTATAAAAGTTGTTTTCCCCAAAGTTTTAAGGAAAAGCCAACCCTCCAAGCAAATGAACGGTGTTGACCCTGTGACCTCCAGAACCTCCCGTCCCTGGGGCCTGCCAACCAGTCTGTGCACGATGACACAGGTGGGGGAGCTGGGGAGGCGCCTGGGGTGGTGACAGCCACCTCAGGAGCCCCTCTCTGGACGTTCCCTCCCGCCACTTCCTTCGGTGCCTCTTCTGACACTCCATTCATCCTCTCGTGCACTCGCTCACGCATTTGTTCCTTCTCTCGCCCGTTCATTTGGCGTATGCTCAGAAAACATCTGCTTTGTACTGCCCTGCGTAGGTAGTAGACGACACACAGCTCCCAAATTTCTGAGTTTCTTGAATTTTTAATCCTTCTCAGTTACATATGCTTCTTTTGAACCTCTACTTCATTGCAAACATCACATTTTTCTTTGGTTCTACTCTGACGAGCCTTTGTTGGTTTGCCATGCAAGAGAGAATAGCTTTCAGCCGACGCCATAATTCCAGGCAACTTCGCAGCCACTGCTCAGCGCTCAGGCAGCCGGCCCCCTACCTCCTCGGCACCCCCTCTGATTGAATTCGGAGTTTAAATTAAATTATCCTGTCACTCCCTTACACTGATCACGTTACCTACATGAGACAAAATTGCAAAGCATATCTGTGTAACAGTCTTGTATCATTAAATCAAACTGAACTCAGTTCTGCAATCACGGCAGTGTGGTCACGCTTGGCTCTGAGCTCACAATGGGGATGACGGTGATGGCGAAGATGCTGGGAGAATGGGTGGCGGTCCCAGCGGTGGTGGAGGGAGTGACAGAAACGGGGGTGAGAACGGAGAGGGTGGCACTGTTGCCACAGCGGACGTCGCTGTCGGGAGGTGATGGAGATCACGGCGGTGGTGCTGCTGATGGCCGTGGTGATGTCAGTGAGGGCGATGCACTGGGAGCCTCGATGTCTGGCTGATGGCAAGGCAATCCCACTTTCTCTTCTGTGTTCTTGTCCCAGTGTCCACAGCAACGTCCTGCAATGACCCCGGGGTCCCACAGAACGGGAGCCGGAGCGGCGACAGTTGGGAAGCTGGCGACTCCACGGTGTTCCAGTGTGACCCTGGCTACGCACTGCAGGGGAGCGCAGAGATCAGCTGTGTGAAGATTGAGAACAGGTTCTTCTGGCAGCCCAGCCCACCCACATGCATCGGTATGAACCCTGCCCTCTGGTCCCAGCACTGGGGGGCTCCAGACACCCCCTCTTTCCACATAAGTGGCAGCTGCATTTTGAGCCTGGCCGGGAGACTTGGAACAGTGAAAAGATGCAGAAAACGCAGTGTGCTTTGTGTGCACATGTGCATGCATGCGAGTATACACACACATGTTCACACAGTCACACTCGACACGCTACTGATTCTTCACTCTCCAAAACGGTCCACAGGTTTCTAAGGCAGGCATGTCTGATCCTTTTCTCCTGGCCCAGGATGAGTAGGTTGGAAGTGGACAGTGGGTCACATCGGGTAGTAGGGTCAGCAGGCTCCACAGTGACCCTCTTCCATTACCCGAAACACTAGAAGGACTCCCACAGGCTTGGTGTATAAAGGAAAGAACCCTGCTCTTCCTCTTCCCAAGGAAACTATGGGTCACCTGGGTTTGGTTCTGTAGATCTACCCTCTAGTCTTAAAAATCTCTCCATGTGACAGATGAAGAACTGGAGGTTCTGAGACATGTCCAAGGTCATGTAGCTTGCGGGGGTTGGGCCAGAATAATCCTGCTCCCTAGCAACTCGAGACTGGTGGGGGGGGGGGGCGGAACTGAAGGGCAAGGAGCACAGGAAAGAAAGAGACATACAAGCCAACATTCCTGGTGTTCACTTCCACTTGGCTCTTTTTCTCAGGCCAGATACTGAATGTATTTCCCGTGTCAGCCATGGGTGTTAGAAGGGACCCAGTAGTCACTGAGTCCTCACTGTGGGCTGGCCACACACTGGACACTTATTTATGCCACCTCATTTCACTGCCCCTGCTGCGCTCATTTTACAGTCGAGGAAACTGCAACGTGGACAGGTTTGGGTGTCTCACCCCGAATCACAGAGCAAGGATGGGACAAAGCCAGAACTGAAACCTGGATCAGCCTGAAGGCAGAGCCTTTCCTTTTCCTCCCGTCCACACGGGCTCCTGCTGGAGATGGGTGCAGGGGACTTCCAGAGACACATGGGCCCCAGCAGGGCCTGCCCGGCCGCGCGCTGCACCTCCTTCCACACAGGCTTCCCCCGCCTCTGCTGGTCGTGAGCTGAGGCCTGGCGTCAAGGGTGGGCCTCAGATCCTGTCCCTCGGCGGTTATTAGGAGTCCCCTGGGTGTGTGTGTCAGGGACATGGTGCCTGGACAGCGGACAGGATGGTGAGATCTGCGTTCCAGAGTCAGCTCAGTTCTCACTTACATGGCATGACGTGTGGGAAGGAGTGTGGACAGTGAAGGACACATCCAGGCTTAGTTCCCAGCTCTGTCACTCACTAGTTCGGTGGCCGTGGGAAAATTGCTTCACCTCTCTGAGCCTCAGTTTCCTCATCTGTAAAGTGATGGTAAATATACTTCCTCATAGCCTTATGGGGTGAGCATGCAACTAACCCCAATCTCAGGAAAATACTCCTTTCTCTCCTTCCCCCCTTCCTTCCTCCGTCCTTCCTTCTTTCCCATTTTCCTTCTTTCGAGCTTTGGGATTCACTTCCCTTCCCTGACCCAGAACTCCTTCTGGTCAAGGGGGTTCTGGGAAGGCTCTAAGAGAAATCAGATGAGCTCTGGGTTCCCTTCCAAATTCAGCACCCTAGACAGCAGCAATTCCGTAGGCTTGCCTCGCAGAAACGCAGGTCCTGAGGCAAGACCATCCCAAGCGGAGAAGGAAGGCTGCCCTGTGTTAAGCTGATGAGCAGCAGATGCGCAGCGAGCAGGGCAAAGAGTTTAATTCAGCTTTCGTGACCCATTCTTCTGCACCCTGAGGCCTGGGGAGTGTTTCTCAGGCAACAACGTGAGTGTCTCTACCTCTTCTCTCAAATAGTCTGGCAATCCCAGTGACAAGCCCATAATTGCCAGCTCTGGCCTGGCTGGCCTTGGCATCCCTTCATTATCGGAAGGAAGCAAAGGAAGAAAACAAGTGTTTACTGAGAGTCATCCCCATGATGGGCCCCAGGCTGGACATTGCAGCTACGTGATCGCAAACAGAACCACCATGTGGCAAGTTGAGAGCTCAGATTCTGGATTGCAGCCACCTGGGTTCTGATCTGGCTTTATCACAATGAGCTGTGTGGCCTTAGACAAACTACTTCCTCTCCCTGTGCCTTGTTTTCCTCCCCTGTGCGATGGGGGAAATGAAAGCACCTGCCTCATAGGGTTAAATAAGATGATACTGTGAAGCTCCTCGATGTATGCCCTGGTTCACGGTAAACACTACACGCGTTAGAAGCCATGATCATCGTCATTCTTTTTTGTATGTTTCATAGGTGAGGAAATGGAGGCTCAGAGAGGTGGGGAAACTTGCCCAAACTCACAGCTACTAAGTAGTATAGTCAAAATTTGAACCCAGGACTGCATACCTTCCAAATCAGTGGCCTTTTTCACAACTCTCACTCCTTAGTACCTGCAGCCTGCCCGCTTCTCAGCCATCTTGGAATGATCAGCTAACGTTGGGAGTTGGCAAGGGAAAAAAAGGCAGTTTCAGGAACCCCCAGGATCACCCCATCCGTGGCTAACGTAAGGGAAGGGACCCCTGAGTTGTGAAGGAAGGCCAGGCCTGGTAGCCCTTCCCCGAATGGAGGCATCATTGTGCCCCCCTGGGAAGACCCCCCAGGGAGCGGGGCAGCCAACATGACAAGGGTTTCCCCCTCTCACTGACTGTGTCGCACTGTGTTTCTGGGCAGGGCCAGTCTCTGCGGGCTGGGCAACACCGTCTCGCGTTGGTGAGGGCAGTGTCACGCTGGTCGTACAGGCCTCTGGTCTGTCCCACTCACCCAACCACCTTCTCTAGGGAAGGCTCAGTGAGAAGAAGCAAGTGAGATGCAGGGCAGCCCTGACTCAGGGAACCAGCCTTGCTCACAGAATCCCTTGTACCCAGGACTGTCCGCTGCTGGCCTGTGGGGAGGGACACTCCTGTCTACTCCCACTGCCATCACTGGTTCTGAGTGGGTAGAGAAGAATGGGGAAATGACAGGCTTTGGAGCCGGACACATGCGGCTTTGGGTCTCAGAGTGATTCTGGGCAAGTGACGTAACCTGTCCGAGCCTCAGTGCCTCCTTTCTAAATCAGGAAGGATAACCCCTACCTCACTGAGTTGCTAGGAGACCGAAAGGAGATAAGGTATCCAAAATGCTGCAGCTCACACGTCTGACATTTAACGGGAGCCCACTTGAGTGTTCCTGGTACTCAAGTCAGTATTTGAGATATATTTTCCACAGGAAAAAAAAAACACACTACTTATGACCACTCAGGTTTTATGTTCAACCATGTCGGGACTTTTATGGCCTGGCTTGAAGACCTACCATTTTTTAAAGAAACCCTGGTGGGGGTTGGTCCAGCCCTGTAAGCACTGCTCTGCTGCACCGTGCGGCCATAAAGCTCAGCTCTGTGACAAGCAAGCGGCTGCTGTTCGCGTCAGCCTTCTAGGATGCGCCCTTGGCTCCTACCCCATGTCCAGTTTTGGATTGTCTGGGCCTCTCGAACGGCTCTCTGTGCTCCTGTGGCCTCACTGTTTTCCTGTTTCACTGCCAGTCGCCGACGGCGCGCTGTGGTTTTCAAACCAAGCTGTATTTATAGTCTTGGCCATCTTTTCCTCCACTTTATCAAACCTTCAAGCTACAGTGCAATAACCCGGCCAATTACTGCAGAACCTGATTCAGGATCTGGGAGCCCTGGGGGGCTCTGGGTGAGCAGCCTGCTGTATCACTGGCCCCCTTCCCTCTCCCCACCAGCTGGGAAGGCCTGTCGTTTCAGGGGAGGGAGACCACCATGGACTAATTGGGTATTCGTAGTGCCTCCTTACTACTAAGGCATCCATGCCCTTAGACAAGGTCTTTGGGAAAATTAGGAGGCTCCTGCAGTCTCCATGCAGACGCCAAGAGCACCAGCAGTGTAGGAGGCCGGCACGCTTGGCTGGTGACCTTGATAATGACTGCCACTCCTCCTGACCTCGACTGCACCAGAACTCTTGGTAAATACCCACAGTGCTCCCCTGGAAAGTGGATGTGAGGGAGTGGGAGGAGACCAGGTTTCCCATGTGTCTGAAAGACACATGATGTCTCCAGGTATTGACTGCTTACAGCACACCAGGTGCTTTAACAGGCATCTCCAAAACCTTTGCAGCCACCCCATGAAGGAAGTATTGTCTCCTTTTGCAGTAGAAGGACACTGAGGTCCAGAGGGGTTAGGTCAGCTCTCTAAGGTCACACAGCCAGGGACTGGCAGAGCCAGAGATTTGAGTTTTGAATAATTCTTTGAGGTGAAATTCACGTAACATAAAATTAGTCATTTTTGGGTGGGCAGTACATTCACAGTGTTGTGCAGCCCCTGCCTCTAGTGCCAAAACACGCCTGTCGCTTCCGGGTAAAACCTCATATCCGCCACACTCCACCCCTTGGCCTCCAGAGCCAGATGTTAACTTAGGCAGGTCAGACTCCATCCTTCCTACCGTGCCTACGAATGCCCGTTCCACTATGACCCACAAAGGGGACAGTCTTACCCTTGTCGTCTTCTCTCCTCAGCCCCCTGCGGGGGAGACCTGACAGGACCATCAGGAGTCATCTTGTCCCCAAATTACCCAGAACCCTACCCACCAGGCAAGGAGTGTGACTGGAAAGTGACCGTCTCACCAGACTACGTCATCGCCCTGGTATTTAACATGTATGTACCTTTCCCCCGGGTGGGAGCCCAAGGGGTCAGAGCAGCTGCGGGTTTCAGACGTGGGTCTCTGGGTGAGTATGCACAGGTCTGCTGGGCGTGGGGTTCTCCACCCATGAGAGGTGCAAGAGTCCCCAAAAGGAGAGATGCTGGCATTTACAGAATGTCTATTATTTTCCCGCTACAGTGCTCCGTGGTTTCACATATATTCTTATTTAATCTTACCGTAATTTATGAGCTAGCTATTATAATTTCTTTTTTTTTTTACCTCTGAAGCTGTTGAGAGTCAGGGGTAGGGCCTTTCTGGATCCCTGTCCTCTGCCCTCCTGCTTTCCCTCCTCTGCTCTCTCTCGGCCCCTCCCCGCACGCTCCCCAGCCCACGAGCAGGCTCTGGTTTTTCTCAGGTGCTGCCCCGCTACCTCCTTTATTTCTTTTAATTTTTTTATTGATTGATTTTTAGAGAGGGAGAGAAACATTGATTTGTTGGCCCACTTATTAGTGTATTCATTGGTTGCTTCTTGTTTGTGCCCCGACCGGGGATAAGCCCGCTACCTTGGTGTATCGGGACCACACTCGAATCAGCTGGGCTACCTGGCCAGGGCAATCCTTTATTTCTTCTAGAGGCAAGCTCTTCTCAGGAATTGTCTCTGCTTCCCCTCCTTCCTCCCCTCTGTTCACTCCAAAACCATTGAAAGCTGGTCTCTGCTTCCACCCATTAACTCCTCTGATAAAAGACTCCGGTGAGCTGGTTGCTAAATAAAGTGGGACTTCCCATGTTTTATCCTCTTGCTCCTCTTGATCACTCCTTGCACCCCTCCTCTGCTTCTTCTCCTTGGGTTTCATGAAGCTCCACTCCACCACTGCCCCCGGCACAGCCTATTCCGGTTCTCCACCTTCTGTGATTGGTTGCTTCCATGCCACACCCCTTTTCCTTGGCCAGACAATCACTCAGGCCTTTTCTCTTCTCATCCACACCTCCTTCCTGGACAAGCTCATCCACTCCCATGGCTTTCCTCTCATAATCCTCAAACTCCCTTCTGCCACCCACCCAGACTCCCTCCTGAGCTGCAGGTTCCTAGCTCCAACTGCTGGGTGTCTCCGTCTGGCGCTGCAGGAGCCTCAGCTGCCACATACCGGCATATTCTCCCCAGACGAGCTCTACTCTGAACACTACGGATTGGCACCACCATCTGCCTTCACTGCTTCTTCTAGGAGTGACCAAGGCGTGGAACTTGTGCTGCCTTAATACTCCTCATACCTTCCCCTCTTGTCCATCCTCCCAGCTACTGTCTTGGTGGAAGCCCTGCTATTTCCCATCCCAATGGCTACCATAGTCTCCTAACCAGCTCCTCAGCCCTGATCTGCCCTTCATGCCAGTCTCTTCTTTAGCTTGCTGGCAGAGTGATCTTGTCACATGAAAAAATGCTGCAGTAACCACTCTATTTTCCATTTCAATGTATGATAATACTTCTCAGCAATCAGGAATCAACTACTGATACGTGCAGTGCGGACGAATCTCAAAAATATCACACTGAACCAAGGAGGACAGACACACAAAAAAAGTACATAATGTATGATTCCACTTATACAAGGTTTTGGGATCGGCAAAACTAATGAATGGTGATTAAAACAAGTCTGTTCGGTGGTGGTTTCTGGGGGTGGGGAAGACTGACTGGGAAGGAGCACCTGGGAGCTTGGGATGGTGGAAGTGTTCTGGATCTTGCTCTGCCTATGTCAAAATTGGTAAAGTATTAACCAATGTCGCCCTGATAAATTCAATATATTACATAAATAAACTGGGAGAGTGATACATTTAAGAGATGATCCTTTCATGGTGTGTAAATTACATTTACTTTAAAAACAAAGAAACAACAAATACATCCTTTATTTTAAAATCCTAAGTGCCTCCTTCTTCCCTGTAAAGTCCAAACTTTTGAGTTTCATTCTAAGAGATCTGGCCGCTACCTACTTCTCCATGTGGTCCCCCCACCGCATTCCAGCCCCACAGGTCCTAATCCCAGAGCTCCAGCCAGACTGGAGCCCTAGCAGTTTCCAAGACACTTCCTTGCCCTCGTGACTTTGCCTCTGCTTTTCCCTTCACAGTGACTCCCTTTCCCTGCTTTGTCCCACTGCTGAGGGTCTTTTTATCTCCCTAGACCCAATACCAGCTTGGCCCCCACAAAAGCTTCATCTTCTCCTGCTCTAGGAACTTTATATTGTGTGACCCCGTACACCTGTACAGACTTGGCTGTGTCATCTTCATGTCCATCATCTCCTTCAGCCCCATCACTGTCTTGAAGAAGGGGTGGTGTCTGACACACCCCATGCCCTGGGCACCTTGCACAGTGCCTGGCATATTGAGGGTACTCAGAAAAGATGCAATGATTGGAGAAAGGCAGTTAGGGAGTGGTGGAGCCATAATTTATGACCGAGACTGGCCCACTGCAAATCCCTTTGCTGGTGGCTTTTAGGAGAGCAGATGGGCAGAAGCTGAGTTATGGGACAAGAAGATCATCCCTCCCAGCAATGATGGGGTGAGCCTGCAGCCAACACCAGTGTGAGAAGGTGCCGTGTGGGAAGGAGGCCAGTGCACATCTGGCTCTGCCCCTCACCCCATCTCTCTGCTGCACCTACCCCTTTGTCCTAGAGATGCCACAGCCCCCTCGCTCTGCCGCATGTCTTAGCTAAAGGGCAGAACTGCACTGTACTCTCAGCCCAGACAAATGGGGTATCGGGGTATCTCAGCCCATGGCTGGACTGTGAGTTTGCATCAGAAGTTTGTTCTCTGCAAACTCAGTTCCTCTCATTCTGTTGTTTTCACCTTTGCATGCTTGATGAGTACCAGTTGCCTTTGTTGAACAGATGCCTAAGAGTGGAATCATAGCATCACAGGGCATGTGTTCAGATCGAGTAGATACTGCGAAACAGCTTTCCAAAGTGGTTGAGCCATGGGGTAGAAGAGCTCCAGGGGCCCCACATTCTTGCCAGTCCCTGGAATATTCTATCATTTTTCACTCTATCCATTCCAGTGGGATAAATTACAGATACATTCAAGGACTCTAATACTCAACTAAACTAAGACAGTTTTAAAAATAGATGTTTTTTTCCCCCCACACTATGGCCAGGATAGCTAAGAAAGAGGCAAGCTGTCGGTGCCAGGAATGGGGTGGTAACGGATCCTCAGGAGAGCTGAGAACTGGCTCGGGGGTATGGGAAAGAAGCTGGGGTCCTCCGTGACACAGGCCCCTTCCTGCCTGGAAGTGGCTCCCTGGGTAGCTCCTTCCCTCTTGGAGAAGAAGGCACAGCCTAGCGCAGTGTAAAGAACATCAGAGGAAGGAAGAGACCTGGGCTCTGGACCTGCTCTGCTGAGCCCTGGGCATGCAGAGCTGTAACTCATTTTCCCTCCTCTGCACAGTGCCGTGGATATGGACGATATTGCATTGTAATCACCAAACTGCTAAGAGGCTCAATCTCAATTATTCCAACCACTAAAAAGAGATGGTAACTATGTGAGGTGATAAAGATGCTGATTATCACTACAATGCATATATAAATGTATCCAGTCAATTTGTATACTTTAAACTTACACAGTGGTATATGTTAAATATATTTCCATTTTAAAATAAATTTTAAAAGGGGTTGATAAGTTTCAGCTCCAGCTTTCTGGATACTGTCTCTGCAGTCTGCCTCCTCGGCCCCAAACCTGCTTCTGCCATCTTCTCCACTGACTGGGAGGCCACTGGGGCTTCATCCTTCCCCCCACCCTGGAAGTCTCAGGGGCTGGGCACCAGTGGGATGGGGGCTTGCTGTCTGGGAGGCTCTCCCAGATACCAAGGGACAATTGTACTGAAATGATCACATGGTTTTGTCTTTTATTCTATGATAGGTATGCAGTAATTGAATTGTAGGTGTTACGCCAACTCTGTGCCCAGTTCGAGGCTTTATTTGACCTTAGTCGGGTGGGGGTGGGATGTTCTTGTTCCCCAGCTTTAACTTGGAGCCTGGCTATGACTTCCTGCATATCTACGATGGACGGGACTCTCTCAGCCCCCTCATAGGAAGCTTCTACGGCTCCCAGCTCCCGAGCCGCATTGAGAGCAGCAGCAACAGCCTCTTCCTCGCCTTCCGCAGTGACGCGTCCGTGAGCAATGCAGGCTTCGTCATCGACTACACAGGTAAGGGCAGCTCATCCCATTCCTGAGGTCACGGTGCGTGGACCTCTGCCCGAAGGAAGGACACTCCTGGCCATACTCTGGCACCTTGCCATGGACTGGATGCTTTCTGATACTTTGTGATCACGTGTTCTCACCCCTCTAGTTTTCCCATTCTTTTATTCTCATTGTACTTCTGACTTAATGAAGACAAGTTCAGACGTGTCAAGGTCAAGGGCAGGGATCAGAAAGTGTTTTCTTAAAGAACCAAACAGTAAACATTTTCAGCTGTGAGCCACATCATCTCTAGCACAACCGCTCAGCTCTGCCCTTGCAGCACTGAAGGAGCCAAAGACAGAACACACGGGAATGGGCGTGGCTCTGTCCCAGTAAACGCCCACTTGCAAAACAACAGGCCTGTCGCCGTCTGGTCTAGTCTGTTGGGTTCACTGGGTTCGGGCACATTAGCGGGTCAAGTCCACTTGGCCGTTGTGTGGACTTGGGCAAGTTCATTTAACACCTGAAAACTTCATTTGCTCATCTACAAAATGAGGCTGGCATACTTCCTGTCTCAGAAATGTAAAGATCAATGAGCTCATGCATCAAAGTACAGTGCCCAGCTCACACTAAGCATCCCATTAATATCAAACGGGAGTGGTCGTAGTCGTAAGAGTAATTCCGGGCTCTGGGGCACTCCACCTTCTTCTACTGTCTCCTTGACCTTTTCTTCTTCCCTAATTATCCCAGACACCGTTATCCAAATCCGAGCTCCATTCCTTGCTTGATGGGTGAGCTTGGCAAGTCGTTATCTCTTGGAACCCATTTCTCCATCTTTATCTCATCGTGTTTCAGGAGGTTAAAATTAAAAGGTATTGTATGCTTACATATACTATGTCTAAGTATAGTAGCCAGTATGTGCTACAGACTCTTGAGAGATGATCGATTTTCTTAGTGTTAATGTAACCCAAGTTCACCCCGGCCTCGTCAGCCTTTGCGAACAAATAGAGTCCCATTACCCGTTAAAAATAAAAGGCTCCTGGCTCATGTCCCCCACTTGCATAAAAGGTAGGACCTCAGCAACCTTTTAAAGTGCTCTTTAATTGAATATTTTTGGCAACTCCTGCGAATATCTCACATGAGCTCACAAATACTATCAATCATAAAAATGGCTAACTAAGCACTTTACACCCATCGATTCATCAAAACCCTCGTAACTATCATTTGTCTGCTCCCTGTCAGATCCAGTTCTAGAAGACACTGGTGCACGGATGAGAGCGTGTTTTTGCTTGTGGTCTTCTTCCCTCGCATGGCTGGCCTGGGGGAGAGATGTTGCTGTTGTCTCTTCCTCCAGACACCCCCCGTTTGCTAACCCTCTTGCACACCCACAAACCCTGCTCCACATGCTGATACCAGGGCAAACGCCGTCGCCGTGGGGTTCTGGCAGAAGACGCAGCTCAGACACAGCCCGGGCCCCCGCCTCTCTACCCATCACGGTCCCCACTGCGGCGTCATCACCACCCTCATTGTTTTTCTTCTCAGTCATCTCTCTAATCGTACCCTCGTCAGTGCCCTCAGTTTTCCTATCCTGAGGTCCTTCTACTGCGTAAAGCTTGCAAAAGCTCACCCTTTGTTATACTCACATCCAAATGGTTGAACGCAGCCAGAAAAAGTCACATAAACGTGGCACTTGTAGCCACAGCAGATAACATCCTTTAACCCAGCCAAGCCTTACCAGCCACCTGAGTGACTTCTGACTTGTCCCACTTGAGTCTTCTTCTTGGTGGACATTCCAAAATTTCACCCCAAATGGTATCACTTCCAGCCTCCTTCCAAGATGATTTCATTTCACCATCCCTGAGTGTCGTAAGTTACTGAGTACAAACTCCCTTAGCTTCTTCCCTCATCACCTTGTTCATGGCGCCCTGGCTGTGGCCACCTCTCCCCTAGGTCTTTGCCACTGACTCCATGGGCTAGAGCCACACTTCCAGGTCCTCTTTCCCAAAAAAAAGTCCTTTCCACTTTCCTCTGTTGACCCAAAATCTTATCTAGAGGAGTCCTCAAGTCCAAACCACAGTCCCAAGAAATAAGGCCTACCTAAATGCCATCCGACCCGGCCAAGTGACTGCAGGAGGCCAGTTACTGGGGAGAGTGGAGAGGGAGGCACAGCACCCCCATGCACCCTTCACCACCTTATTAGGATCTGCGGCACCAGTACCAAGATAAATGTGTCTGTTTGGGTGGGGGGGTACCTGGTGAGACCTGGAGCTGCCCTCCCCGTCTTTCTCAGATTGCACACACCCTAGTATTAGCACCCCCCATCCTGTCTCCCAGTCTCTGCGCAGGTAGCCCATTTGCTGGGGCGCAGGGACTCCTGCCTTATCCCATGGTCTCCTTCTCCCTATCCCAGGATCCCTGGGTTCCCAGAATGGGTCTGCTGTGCTGCCAGACCCCACGGCCTCAGTGATACTCACCCATGCTCAGTGTGTTTACAGAGGTAGTCTCCATCACCTATTGACTAGTAGGCATTAAACAAGTTGCATAACTTCTCCAAGCAGCGCTTCCTAATCTCTCAAAGAGGGACAGTGGTACCATGTGAAAGAGGGGTCATGAGGGTTGGTAAATGGGCACAGCACCCAGCAGGGCGCCGATGCCCGCTGGTGCCTGGTGCATATGGACCCACCCACTTCCATCCCGGTGCCTTTTCCCTGCGTGATGGATGTTTCATTTGCTCTGCCCTTGTTTGGAAGGGAAAAGGGTTTGTACCCTTCTTCGTGGGGTTAGCCCAGTGGAACAAGTACATTTTCTTTTCTGATTACTGAAAATTATGAAGTCCAATTACGATGCTGAATACAGGCGTACCTCGGAGACATTGTGGGCTTGGTTCCAGATACCATGATGAAGTGGATGTCACCGTAAAGCTAGTCACACACGTTCTTTTTGTTCCCTAGTGCATATAAAAGTTATATTTATACTGTACTGTAGTCTATTAAGTGTGCAATAACATTATGTCTAAAAAAGAGCAATGTGCATACATTAATTTAAAAAATACTTTATTGCTAATAACGCTAACCATCATCTGAGCCTTCAGCAGATTGGAGTCTTTTTCCCGGTGGAGGGCCTGGCCCCTGTGCTGACGGCTGCTGACTGGTCAGGGTGGAGGAGGCTGGGGTGGCTGGGGTGGCTGGGGCAATTTCGTAAAAATAAGACAAAGAAACTTACTGCATTGTCTCTTTCTTCCTCTTGAATACTTAGAGGCTGTTTTAGAGTTTTTAACTGGCCTCGTAATGTCTCAGGAATAGGGAGGCCTGAGAGAGAGAGAGAAATAGGGGAGAAGGTGGAGAGGGCAGAACACACACTGTCTTAATGGGTGCTGCCATGGCACCCCCGAAATTACAACAGTACCATCAGAGATCACTGATCAGGGTCACCATGGCAAAAGTAGTAATAATGAAAAGGTTTGGTGAGAATTACCAAAATGTGGCACAGAGACGTGGGGTGAGCAGATGCTATTAGAAAGAGGGTGCTGATAGTCTTGCTTGACACAGGGCTGCCACGAACCTTCAGTCTGTGAAAAGCACAGTGTTAGCAAATCACCATAAAGGAAGGGCAATGGAATGTGATATGTGTGTATACATATGACATCAATATCTGTGATAAGTGTGTGTGTCCTGGATACCTCTCTGATCCTTAGCACAGAACTGAGACACACTGCACTCTGAGCCCACAGAGCGCTCTGGGTGGTGGTGTGGTCCAGTGAGGACCTGCTGCGAAAGGCCTGGACCCCAGGGAGAGAAGAGGTGGCTTCATGCATCTAGAAGCCATCATCTGTCCAAACGCAGGTGCCCGTCTTGTCGAAAGGTCCAGGGCTCTGCTAATGCTGAGCATCTGGGTCTCCTGGCATTTGTGGCTTCGAGGGCCCTGCTCTGGGAAGTGTGCGGAGCCACATGGAGAGCCCTCGCAGACTCAGCTGGGCGGAGTCTGGTGAAAACCCCTCTCTGAGGTCCAACCCCATCCAGGGCAGACAGACCAGAAGTCTTCCCATATCCTGCCGGCTGCCAAGTGGAAGGAAGGCAGGAACAGTTTGTTTGCATCTTAGGGACCATTTACTTTCAAATCAAGAAATCCATTCAGACTAACTTAAGCAAAAAAAAAAAAGAGGAGAGTAATTTGTTACTTAAAAAAATGCAAAAAAAAAAAAAACAAACCAGAAATTCAAACTAACTTGAGACCAAAAACAAAAAAGAAAGAATATTATGAGAAAAACAACTAACAGCCAAAGTAATTTAAGCTAAAAGGGGTTCTATGTTTTAGCAAGACAGATAACAAAATCTTACCACCAAAAGGGAATGTATTTTTAGAATACAAGAGCCCAAGGGCAGAAAGTATGAGGGATTGAAGTCAGTGTGAGAAGAAGGTCAGAGGTTGAGATTACCCGCCTCTGTCTCCTGACCGACCACTAAGTCTCCTTCTTGCTCCTTTCTGAATTATTTGCTACATTCTCCTCTGTCTGCAGATTAATTTCCACTGCTTCTCCATTGCCCTAAAGGGTGGGTGCCTCACTCCGGATTTTGAATCACGTCCCATTTTGTATCCCAATTCCGCATCCCAAAGGGCCATCAGCTTGCCCAGGCTTCAGTCAAGAGTCCACCAAGCAGTGTCAAGGGAGTCGGCTCTTTCATAGGGGCTGGGGCAGACCATGCATTCTTACCATTTGTTCGCTCAGCACATATTTAGTGAGAACCTACCAAGTGCCAGACACTGTTAGGGGCTGAGAACAGAGCAAGGAGCAAATCACAGTCCCTGCCTCCATGGAGCTCTCATCCTGGACCACCTGACATCTCTATTACAGATGAGGAGTCGGCACCGGCAGCCCAGCTCACCACAAGGCCAAGGTGGGCGGTTCCTTGGTGTCTCTGTTCAGTTGCTCCTGGAAGGTGGCTGTGGTGGCTCATCGTCTTTAGACAGGCCTCCCAGGAAGTGATTCTGAAGGCAATCAATCCTGTCATTCATGGGATTCCATGAGA